AAGCCCACTGATGGAATCAGTGGATGAAGAATACAAAGTCAGCTAAGCACGTGATGTGCATCTTTAATCCCAGAACTCAGGAGGTAGAGGCAGGTTAATCTCTGTCAGATTAAGGCCAGCCTGGTCTACAAAATGAGTTTCAGAGATCTGCCTGCCTTTGCCTCCTGAGTGCTGGGATTAATGCTGTATGCCACCATGCCCATCCAGATTTCTTGATTAAAGTGGCATTTTCCAGTTCTTGTAATTTCTTTGCTTTTGAGACAGGGTCTGGACATGTAACACAGGTTAGCCTTGAACTCAGACCTGTCAGAACAAAGTTGTGGTAAAAAGGGAAATTCACAAGGTAGTAGTTGAAACAGACATAATCTCATTCCACAACAGACAAGACAAAAGATAGGACTCTCTGGACAGTTGCTGTCTAGAGCAGAACTCATTTTGTCTGACTACCCAATCACTCATTTGGTCATGCAATTATTCTATACACAAAACAGACATGAACAGAGACCAGAGTAACCAGTTTCCAATGGTGCACTAGTTTACCAGATGACCTCAGAAAATGTCTTGGCTATTGAGAATGGCCTAGGGAAGGACCCCATCAGAATCACATTCCCACTATTAAATACCAGACCAGACCAGAAAAGAATGGCACTCCAAATCAGAAGTAACAGAACTTATCTCCTAGGAAGACCAAAAGAACTCAATCAATTTGAGTTTGGGGTCATGCAGAAGACCCAGAAATGGGACTCTCCATTTCTGATGAGAGTCACGGGGCTCTGGATCATCTCAGAGGGCACCTCCCCTGTAATAATTTATCAAGTTGGGGAGATCCAGAGCTGGGATGAACCTCTAAGTGGCGATCTCCTGGGGCCTCCAAATGTAACACTTAAAAAAAGATGCACAAGGAATACCACATAGTGATGGTCAAATTAGGAGTCCTTTATTAATAGCTGGTAGTCAGAGAGAGGGTTAATGCTCAAGAGAACTCTTGACCCCCAGGAGAAGTAGGGTAGGGTTTATAAAGCTTAAAACCATAATTACATCATACCATAGCAAAGCCAATAACCATAGGTGCACACTAGACCAGGGGCAGGTGTAACAGTTAACAATAAGTTTCAGTTATGCTGGGTGGGAGGACGTGCTACTTGGGCTACTACCTGGCTACTTGTAAGTTTCCTGGTATTGTAGATACAATGCACACCCTGAAACTGCCTACATGAGACATTCTGCCTGGCTGGCTGCACTTAGGATGGCTGGGCCAAAACACGTGGTAAAGCAAAAGTCAGCTGGAACAAAATGGAGTTAGGTTTGTCATTTTAATTAACCAGATTGGGGTTTTTTGGTCTTTTTGAGACAGGGTCTCCCTGTAGCCCCAGCTGGCCGGAACTCACTCTGTAGACCAGTCTGGCCTCGAACTCACCAAGCTCCACCTGCCTCTACCTCCCAAGTGATGGGATTAAAGGCATGCACCACCACGCCCAGCTTATTTTTATTTTATGTGTATGTGTGTATTGCCAGCATGTAGGTAAGTGCATCCATGTCGTGCAATGCCCGCAGAGGACAGAAGAGGCTGTCGGACACCCTAGAACTGGAGTTATGGACAGTTGTTAGCTGCCATGTGGGTGCTGGGATTCGAACCCGGGTCTTCTGCAAGAACAACTATGTTCTTAACCACTGAGCCATCTCTCCAGCCCTAGATTTGTTTAATTGGGATTGGTTTACTCTGTGTTTTATAATTCATCATTATTAGTATGAACTTCTTGTGATGATCAATTCATCTCACTTTTAGTCACTTGAATTCATTTTGCTGCTTAAATGTCCTTTTTTTTTTTTTGAGACAGGGTCTCACTGTCGCCTGAGCTGGCCTGGAACTCACTACATAGACCAGGCTGGTTTTGATCTGACAGAGATAGGTCTGCCTCTCCCTCCTGAGTGCACCACCACCCCTGGTTTAAATATCTTTTTAACATTTCCCTCAGGTTGTAAGTTCCTCCTGATTTCCTAGCATAAGAGGTCCCAGCTTTGCTGCATTCTCCTCCTGCCTAGACATAGGGAAAAAAAAAAAAATTCTACAAAGAAGCCCAAGTTCCTATTTGTGGGAACAGAATTTTAGAAACAAGGGAACTGGGGTGGAGTTTAGGGTCCATTATAATTGTGCTTTGTTTCGGTTTTGATTTTTTTGAGATAGGGGCTCATATAGCCAAAGCTGGCCTTGAATTGATCTTGGCTCTTCTTTCTGGTATGAACTACCATGCCTGGTTATCCACCATAATTTGGGGGGCAGCGGGGACAAGGTCTCAGTATGTAGCCCTGGCTGGCCTAGAACTCATTAAGTCGACTAAGCTGTCCTTGGACTCACGAAGTTCTACCAGCTAAGCTACATCCTTAGCCCCTAGTTCTCCTCTTTGAGGCTTGGGCTGGACAGCTGTATTGTGATGTTCTTGTGTCATCCACTTCTCAGGTGTGCTGTGAGGACTAGATGTTCTGGGAAGATGATCTCTCAACTGGAAACCACTATATAAACATAAGGTGACTTGGGTTGCAGTAATTGCCTGCTAACCTTATGAGCCTAAGCTAAAACAAAGGGCTTAAGGAAAATACTTCCAAATTCTAGATTAATAGGAGCAAGGAAAAATTCTGTAATTATGTTAAAGCAATTTTTCTTCCCATGAATGAATTTAAATGCACCAGGAAACCTGATAATTAACCTTTGGTAAATATTATCCCGCTAATTGTTTTCTCCTGTGTCATCTTTCATAGTTCAATTACAAAGCCATATTACTGCCCACTTGCCATCTGCCAACCAGTTATCTAGAATATTAAACTCAGAGAACATTGATCATGTGAGCATGAAGTTAAATCTGTATATAATTAATTATTCAAGTAATCATCCCAACTTAGAAGGCCAGTTTCAGTGTTTTGAAAAGCTCAGAACATCCCAATCGTATTGAAAAGATGTTTCCAAAAGGCAATCTTGCTACGGAACAAGGTACAATCAAATAAAAATGCCTTGCACTTTACAAACCTCCAGAACGCATTCATTATAGACAACAGAATGATTAATCTGAGATCACTCAGATGATGCACTCACTCCAAAGAGGAGGACTGATGGGGGGAGAGTAAGAGATGGTGATGGGAGGTCAATATGACAAAATGCATTTTATACACGTGAAGATGTTCTACTGAAACTTGTTTTCTTTTTGAAATTTTTTTGATTTGGGGTCGGAGAGATGGCTCAGTGGTTAAGAATACTAGCTACTCTTGCAGAGGACTGAAGTTCGACTCCCAGCACCCACATGGCAGCTCACACCTGTCCTTAACTCCAGTTCCAGGAGATCCAAAACCCTCTTTTAACCTCTGCAGGCATTGCATGCATGTGGTGCACTTAACATACATGCAGGAAAAACACTCATACACATAAAATAGAAATAAATAAGTCCAAAAAATTAACATTATTTATTTTTTTATAAGTAAATCCTCTACAAGAGCAGCCAGTGCTCTTAACCACTGAGCATCTCTCCAGCCTTGTAACTCATTTTTCTATAATTAATATATGAGTGGATTAGGGTCAGTGAGGTGGCTAAGTGTATAAAGGTGCTTACTTCAGCTGGACATGGTGGCACACACCTTTAATCCCAGCACTTGGGATGCAGAGGCAGGTGATCTCTGTGAGTTTGAGGCCAGCCTGATCTACATAGTAAGTTCCAGGCCAGCTAGGGCTACAGGGAGACCCTGTCTCAAAAAGAACAAAAAACAAAGAAACGACAACAAAAAACCATATAAAGGTGAAAGGAGATAACCAACTCCACAAAGTTGTCTTCTGACCTACATATGCGTGCCAGGCACACACACACAATACTAATTTAAAAAATTTTAATGAACAGATTAAATAATTATAAGAGGGAAGCTGAGCCCATGTGGTCGTCATATGTCTTTAATACTAGCACTTGGGGGTAGAGACAGTAGACTCAGAACTTCAAGGTTATCCTCAGCTACAGATCAGATTTAAGGCTAGCCTGGGCTACAGGAAACCCTGTCCTCCCCAAAAAGGGAAAATAAGACAGAAGCCCAGGACTATCCAAGATTTCGGAAAGACAGGGAGGAGAACCAAGAGTCAACCTTTGGAGTTTGGGGTTACTTTACTGTCTTTTCCCCTCACAACCTAAGCTCCTTGCATAATGTTGTCCATAGAATTCTACTGGGTGAATTAATGCTATCCTGTATACACACACATGGATGGGGGAGAGATTGGATGCAAAAGTGATGTCTTTGGATTCTTGGAATTTTCCTTTTGAGAGACAGTCTCTGTAGTACAGGTTGGTCTCTCAGTATAGAGCACAGTCTGGCCTTGGCTGCACAGCAGTTCTCCTGCTCCAGCCTCCTTACTGCTGAGACTGAGGTACCGCCACTCAGGCTATTGCTTGGACTTTTCAAATAAGAATTGCTGAGAGTTGTGGTCAGCATATGCCCGGGGTCACTGCCCACCCTCATCCATCCTACCAGCCTATTTTAGGAATGGTGTCTGACTCAACTGGTCCCATCTGTCTGCAAATGTTGATCTCAGGGACTCCTCTATACCATTGTCTTCCACTTATGACAGGGCTTAGAATCCATCTTTCATTAATGCTTTCAATTGAGGGTACCAAGGCAACTTCCTGATGCATTTGAACACCACTGGATGCGATGCTATATAACCAGGGGTTTAGATCAGATGAGCTAGAAAATGGCTTCTTAGGTTTTTCTCAAACAATAACTGTGTTTCCAAGCAAAGTCTTGAGTGGAGTTCCTTCCCTATAGTTCCTGGTCTCCTTGGAGATTCAAAAGGCTAGAAGGAAGAATAATCCATCCAGTCTTTTCTCCCTAGTTACCAGCATAACAGCCAGAACATGCAGGTGGTTATAAGGACATAGCCATCGTTTATTTTCTGTTGTAGTGAGAGGCACTATAAAACCGGTTATCTTCTTCCTCTCAGAAGGTATTTGAAATGTGTTTGTTTTCTACAGCCAGAGTTTATGGCATCCTCCCCACAGTTTACAGACCCGCACCTGTATGTGTGGAATGCCACTGGCAACAGGTTGCTACACCGGGTGGAAGGAATAAGACTGAAAACAAGACCAGCCCAGTGCACAGATTTTGTAAGCATCAAAAAACAAGTGGAGATGTTGGCCAGAATAAAAGTCACCCACTACCGGTTTGCTCTGGACTGGGCTTCAGTCCTTCCTACTGGTAATCTGTCTGTAGTTAACAGACAAGTCTTAAGGTACTACAGGTGCGTGGTGAGTGAGGGACTGAAGTTGGGCATCTCCCCCATGGTCACATTATACTACCCCACCCATTCCCACCTAGGCCTCCCCATGCCGCTTTTGAGCAGTGGGGGATGGCTAAACGCCTCCACCATGGAGGCCTTCCTAGACTACGCAGAGCTGTGCTTCCAGGAGCTGGGAGATTTGGTGAAGCTCTGGGTCACCATCAACGAGCCCAACAGGCTGAGTGACATCTACAACCGCACGAGTAACGACACCTACCAGGCAGCCCACAACCTGCTGATAGCCCATGCCCGGGTGTGGCATCTCTACGACAGGCAGTACAGGCTGACCCAGCGCGGGGCTGTGTCGCTGTCCCTGCACTCCGACTGGGCGGAACCCGCCAACCCCTACGTGGACTCGCACTGGAAGGCAGCTGAGCGCTTCCTCCAGTTCGAGATCGCCTGGTTTGCAGACCCCCTCTTCAAGACCGGGGACTACCCGTTGGCCATGAAGGAGCACCTCGCCTCCAGGAACCTGCGCGGGCTGTCCACCTCCGTCCTGCCGCGCTTCAGCCCCGAGGAGAGCCGGCTGGTGAAGGGCACCGCAGACTTCTACGCTCTCAACCACTTCACCACCAGGTTCGTGATGCACGAGCAGCTGAGTGGCAGCCGCTACGACGCGGACAGGGACGTCCAGTTCCTGCAGGACATCACCCGCCTGAGCTCACCCAGCCGCCTGGCCGTGATGCCCTGGGGGGCGCGCAAAATGCTCGGGTGGATCCGGAGGAACTATGGGGACCTGGACGTCTACATCACTGCCAACGGCATCGATGACCAGGCTCTGGAGAACGACCGGCTCCGGAAGTATTACTTGGAGAAGTACGTGCAGGAAACTTTGAAAGGTGAGAAGCCTGCCACGCCTGGCTAATAGTGGTGTTTTTAAAAGATTTATTTTTAATTATGTGTATGTGTGCACGTGAGTCCAGGTGTCTGCAGAGGTAGGAGGTGTTGGATACCCCTGGAGCTGGAGTTGTAGGTGGTTGTGAGCCACCTGACAATGTGCTGGGATGCGAACTCAGGTCCTCGGCAAGAGCAGTACCCACTCTTAACTGCTGAGGCTTTTCCCCTGACACACTCTCAGCCACCTTTGAGATAGGATCTCATTTGTTAGCCCTGGCTGGCCTGGAACTCACAGAGACCCACTTACCTTGGTCTCCTAAGTGTTGGGATTATAGGCAAGCATCACCACACCTAGCTTATGCTTAGTGGTTTTGAGACAGGGTTTCATTATGTAATGCAGGCCGGCTTCCAACTCCAGGCTGGCCCCTCTCCTCCTGCCTCAGCCTTCCTAGTACTGGGATTACTAAAGTCATAGGCTACCACACCTGTCTCTAGGCTTTTTTTTTTTTTTTTTGAGATAGGGTCTTCCTTAGCCCAGGCTGGACACAAACTTACTATGTAGTGGAGGATAACCTTGAATTCACCACCATACCTGGCTTGTGTGGTGCTGGGGATGGAAGCCAGGGCTTCATGCATGTAGGCAAGCACTCTACCAACTAGCTACAACCCAATAGCCCCAACTGGTCTGAAACTCACTATGTAGACCACAGATATTCGCCTGCCTCTGGCTACCAAGTTCCGGGATTAAAGGCATGCACCACCACACCTGGCTCCCTAAACATTCTTAATATAACTACGCTCATGCCATTATCCAGTTGTTTTTTTAATGTGTATGAGTGTTATGCCTGCATGTATGTAAGTGCACCCGTGTCGTACAATGCTGGCGTGAAACTCACTATGTAGACCACAGATATTCGCCTGCCTCTGGCTACCAAGTTCCGGGATTAAAGGCATGCACCACCACACCTGGCTCCCTAAACATTCTTAATATAACTACGCTCATGCCATTATCCAGTTGTTTTTTTAATGTGTATGAGTGTTATGCCTGCATGTATGTAAGTGCACCCGTGTCGTACAATGCTGGCGGAGGACAGAAGAGGGCATCGCGTCCCCTAGAATTGGAGTTATGGATGGTTATTAGCCACCATGTGGGTGCTGGGATTCAAACCCAGGTCTTCTGCAAGAACAGCTGAGCCATCTCTCCAGTACCACCATTATCCAGTTTTGTGTACTTGTTCTTTTGCTTTTTTTTTTTTTTTAATCTCAGGGAATTGAACCCAGAGTTCATTTGGCTGTACCACAAATCACATCTCCAGCCCCAACTTCTCTATTTTTGTGCAGGGCTGGGGATTTGACCCAAGACCACATGCATGCTAGGCATTTACTCTCTCACCGACCTACACCCCCAACTCCTAACCCCCAACTTTTCTCCTTTGTGGTGCTCTGGTTCAAACCTAGGGTTTCATGTGTGCTGGGTAAGAATCTACCAGAGTTACAAATAGCCTTTGAATTGATTTTTTTTAATTTTTTTAAGGTAGGGTTTCATGTATCCTAGGCTGACCATGAACTCCCTATGTAGCCAAGGCTGGCCATGAACTCCTGCCTCCACCTCCAAACTCCACCTAGGATTATAGGAATGTGTCACCACACCTGGCTGTACTTTAAAAAACATCACATTATGTGTTTTAGGTCATTAAAGCTTTCGTGAACTTTAATGGTTGTTTGCTATCACATTACATGAACGTATCTTCATATACTCAACCACTATTATAATTTTTATTTAGATGGGGTTCCCCCCTCTATTGGAAAGATAGGTATCAGACTGGAGAGATGGCCCAGTGGTTAACAGCACTGGCTACTCTTGCAGAGGACGCAGTTGCCAGCATTTACATGATAGCTAACAACCATCCAGGGATCCAATGGCCTATTGTGGCCTCCTCTGGCATTACATGCATGGGTGCATTTTCATACAAGCAGGTAAAACACTCCTAGACATAAAAAAAAAAAATAAAGAAGTCAGCTGGGTGTGGTAACAGACACGCTGTCTTAAAAAATAAGAAAAAATAAATTTTTAAAAAAGAAAAAATAGGTATCTTTGAATAGAAATACCTTCATTTCTAACTACCTACCACCTTAGATGGGATTGCCCAATATGTAAAAATTTTTTGTGTGGTTAGAATCAACAAACAAGGGCCTGGGGATATAGTTCAGTTGGTAGAGTACCAGCCCACCATCCATAGACCTAGGATTGATCCCTAACACAACATAAACCAGATGTAAAAAGCCTTGAATGCCAGCACTCGGTAGGTAGAGACAAAAGGATCCTCAATTACGTAGGGAGTTGAGGCCAACCTGGGCTACAAGAGACCCTGTCTAAAAAAAAATCTTTAATGATGATCACTTCTTTTAATATTTTTTTTAACTTTTAAAAAAATTTTATTTTTATTTTTTGTGTATGCATGTATTGCCTGCATGTAAGTAAGTGCATCCATGTCGTGCAATGCTCCCGGAGGTCAGAAGAGGCTGTTGGATCCCCTGGAACTAGAGTTACAGACAGCTGTTGGCTGCCATGTGGGTGCTGGGATTCGAACCCGGGTCTTCTGCAAGAACAACCAGTGTTCTTAACCGCTGAGCCATCTCTCCAGCCCTGTGACTTCTTACTGACATGACCTTAGCTTGTTTCAGTGAAAACTAAATTCTTATTGAAAAATACTTTATTGTCCATTTTTAATCAATCATGTTTGTATCTGGTGTTTTTCAGCATACCTCATCGATAAGGTGAAAATCAGGGGCTACTATGCCTTCAAACTGACTGAAGAGAAATCTAAGCCCAGATTTGGATTCTTCACTTCTGACTTCAAAGCTAAATCCTCCGTACAGTTTTACAACCAGCTGATCAGCAGCGGTGGCTTCCCGTCTGAGAGCAGCAAGCCTACATGCAGTCAGACTCTGAGGAGCACAGAGTGCACCATCTGCTCCCTTCTCCTGCAGAAGAAACCGCTGATATTCTTTGGTTGCTGCTTCGTTTCCACTGTGGTTCTCCTGATATCCATCACCATGTTTCGTCGGCGAAAGAGAAGAAAATTTTGGAAAGCAAAGAACTTACAAAACATACCTCTAAAGAAAGGCCACAGTAGAGTTCTCAGCTAACTATCATATTTCTGTCCTCATGAGAGCTTAAATATTCACTCCAGTTCCATAGACTGGTCACTCACAGAAGTTAAACCTGTGTTAGAGAAAGACAATTTGAGAGTCAGTAACCAAGGTGATGACAACCGATGTCTCTGCAGTGTGATTCAAACGTTTCTCCTTAGCTGTAGACACCAGTGAATTCAGTTCTGGGAAGGCTTCACCCTAGCAGTAATTCAGGGGATGACCCCATGCATTGCTTCAGGAAATATAAGGAGCTGTTTCCTGTCATTCTTTGCTAGCTTTCTTCTGTAAACAGCAATTGCTACTCATGGGAAAGGGATTCTTTTTAAAATGTGAAACTGTGTTGTGTTAGACCCCATAGCAGAGATTTAAATTGGCACACTGTCACTTCCATAAGGTGCTCTCCCCATCTAAGTCAGGGTAGTCCTCAGAGAGAAAGCAGAAACCATAGGAATTTAGATCAGGCTTGTTCATAAGCAGTTAAAAACAATGAATCTAAAACACATCAGTCTTAGCTTTTCTAGAAAACAAAAACATATTAAGCATTTATAAAGCATTCAACTGTGTGAGCTCGCTTACTAGATTGCTGATTTTAAAAGTAGCTTCCATCTGGGTGTGGTGACACATGCCATCAATCCCAGCACTCGGGAAGCAGAGGCAGGTAGATCTTGGTGTTGGAGGCCCAAGCTGATCTACATAACAAGTTCCAGGCTAGCCAGAGTTACATAGTGAGACACTGCCTCGAAAAATAATTTTATTTTATATGCCAACTTTTTAAGGCTAGGACTAAGTAAATCTGAACTTGGAGATTTTTATTTTTTTAAGAAACTATGCTTGACTTGCTCAGGAACACTGGAGATAGGAAACTTGAATGTGTACCCACTCACATCTATTCTTTCAAGACAATACATAAGTAACCACACATACTCAGTAGTAGCTCATTACTGTCTGCCCTCTCCAGGAATTTAGACTTTAGAATCAAAGAAAGGTAGCTTTTCGAAAAAAGCCTTAGAAACTATCCTAAATTTAAGGTAGTTCTAATTGTATTCCAGACCTACCTATTGTTAGAAACCAAACTTAACACACAACTGGGATTTTGATAATCAGCACTAATTTTCAGATACTAGAGATAACTGAACTCAAGTAAATGAGAAATTGTAAGAAATCAAGTTGCTATTGGATGAGCCAAATTAACATAGCAGATCTGTTTCTCCACTTCTTGCCTATGAAACAGCCACTACCCCAGTCTTAGTTGTTCTTTTTAAAAATAATTATTTGTATTTTATGTATATGAGTGTTTTGCCTGCATGTACTTAAGTGCACCTGTCTGTGCAATACCCAGAGGCCAGATGAGGGGATCAGATCTGCTGGAACTAGTTACAGATGGTTGATAGCTGCCATGTTGAGTGCTGGGGACTGAATCTGGGACCTCAGCAAGAGCAGCCAGTGTGGTCTTAACTATTGAGCCATCTCTCCAGCCCCAACTTTTTTTTCTTTTGGTCTTTTTGAGACAGGGTCTCCCTGTAGCCCCAACTGGCCTGGAACTTGCTATGTACACCAGGCTGGCCTTGAACTCAGATATCCACCTGCCTCTGCCTCCCAAGTGCTGGGATTAAAGGTGTGTGCCACCATACCTGGCCTACCATGTTGTTTCTTGTTTAACTAGGTGACATGTACACTAGGCTGGTCTTAAACTAATAGTGATCCTCCTGCCTCAGCCTCCTGAGTGCTAAGATTACAAGTGTGTATCAGCATGTCCAGTGTTGTTTCCAACTCCACTGACCACCGTTTTCCTGATTTTGTGACATGGTCTCAAAAGAAAAAGAAAAAAAAAAAAAAAAAGCCAGGGTTCCTCATATTGTCCAGGCTGGCCTTGCTTGCTATGTAGCCTAGGATGACTCTTGATTCTTCAGCCTCTACTTGACTGCAGGCATGCAACACCACATCCTACTAAACCCTCCATTGCTCTGAAGTATGCTCACATTTTTTTTCTTAGCCAGGTTTGGTGGCACAGTGTTTAAGCCCAGCACTCAGGAGACAGAGGCTTTCTTGTTGCCCCGCTGGCCTAAAACAGGCTATGTACAGACCAGGCTGACCACAGTCTCAGAAACCTGACTGCCTTTGCAGGTATTAAAGCATGTGCCACTACACCCAGCTCACATTAAGCTAATCTTAAATCATGTTTTCTCTGAGTTCCCCAATTGTAGTTTGTAGTCCAAAAGCTTTCTCCCTACTTGTGGGGTATTTACTAACATCATATGAAAATCCTAGTTCATGATCTAGCAATCAGGCTGGGAATATGACTTAGTGGTAGGGTACTTGGTTAGCATGCACCAAGGCCCTGGGTTTGATCTCTGGCACTGACATGGAGACATTAGAAACTCAATGAAAAATCAAAAAAGCCAATTAGAAATTATTGGTACCTCCTGGAAAGGGAAAATACTTAAGATCTTTACGCTTCTGAGTAGCTGCAGAAAAAAAACTTGTTACATTTTGTGTCCAATGAAATGCATTTCACTAAACCTTAAAATGTCAAACTGCTTCACCTCTGGGAATTGAGGCCAGTACTTTTAAGTATCTTCAGTGCTTTCCCAAATAAACTGGTTGATGCAGATTTATACTGAATCGTCTGGCTGACTTGCAGGATACAAATGTGATTTGGTGGGCCACCACACAGTGGTGAGGCTTGAACCTAAGACTTTGTGAATGTCATGAAAGCCCTCTAACCAACTGACCCACACCCTGATGCTTCTGCCTGTGACTATACAACGCATCACCATGCAGTTTGAGCATCAATGGCGCTCTCTGCCAGGGGCCACTTAAACTACTAAAGCTTGTAGGAGTTGGCTGGGTTCAATGCCAGCTTGGACTCAAGCCCTTGCTATGCAAGCCCATTTGATTACCAGAACCCAAATAAAACTGGAAGAACTGACCATGAAGCTGTCCTCTGATTTCAACTTGTACTGTGTAAGCACTACTCCCCCCAAAACAAAAACACTAGGGATAGATGACAGTTGCTGCTCTTGTATTGGACCCAAGTTCTGTCCCCAGACCCACATGGTGGCTCATAAGCAGTTCCAAGCTGACACTCTCCTCTAAACTCTGCATACATACAGGCAAAATACGTTGCCCTTTAGCTCAAACTCCACCTTAGCCTCCCCATGCTAAGATTGCTGGCATTAAAGGCATGCACCACCATGCCTGACAAAAAATCCAAAATAATTTTTGAGAAACACAAACTTGTTATAGAATTCCTACAGCGCCACAATCTGTCTCAAGTATACGGAGGGCTTGGCGATGGCACTTAGGACTCAGCTTCAGTTCCCAGCACTCATGTTCAGACTTCTACAAGCTGTTAAGTGTGGTGGTGCATCCCTGTAAACCTAGCACTTGGGAAGTGTTGGCAAGAGGACGAGAATTTGCAGCCATCCCTGGCTATGAGACAGATGTGAGGATACACCTCAGTGGCAGAGTGCTGGCCTAGCATTCACAAGCCCTACATGCAATCCTCACACAACCAGTGGATGGGGAGGACCATTCACATGAAATATACAGTTGTGTTAACTTTATCCAAAATTGTATAAAGCCTAGCCCCCACCTCCAACATTCCCAAGGAAGCTATAGTAGGTTCACTAAAATGTTTGTAACCCAGGCCAGCCTCCATGCCTAATCCTGTCTCAGCCTCCCCAGGGCTAGAATTATAGGCTTTGCACTTTCCACTCCTTACTGAGGCTGTAACACTTGTTTCCACTTCTCAACTTTCCTCTAAAAGACCAGGGACACCCACCACACCAAATATTCAAACGTATACCTGGGAAACAGTAAGCACCTCTGCACACTCAGGTAGATTGCCTGTCACTGACACCACATTCCTAGTGCCTGGATGCCTTTTTACTCCTTTAAGAATCAGATTCAAGCCACTTGTTTCAAGGAACACAAAAAATTCACTCTTCCTTCAAATGAGTATTTGCTGACCTATTTGCCAAGAAACTGGGAAAGATTAAGAGGCCATCACAAATCAATAGAAGTCTTTTATTGTGTCAAAAGTTCTTATAATCCAGGGTCTTGTTTCTGGAGCTGGATAACTGTAAAAAAAATATATATATATGTAAACTTTTGTCAACATTACTGCTTAGAAAAGTTCAAAGCTCATCTGTATTAGAAATTATGACATATTATAGTAAAATGTCAACTCATTATGTATTATACCTTAAGCAATATCAATTTTATCTAAAGCAGTTGGAACTCACCTGAGATCCTACTCATCAGCCTGCTGCACTGTTCCTTTTTCAGAAACATAGATACCATCCAAAAATTTTCTGATATCTTTGTTTTTAACTGTTGTGGCTTGCTGAATCAAAGCCGCTTTAGGAAGTAAAGAGACAATTATTTCTGCAGCCAAATTTATCTTAAAAATGTACATACACAAAAATAGCCATGTGCTGCAAATTTTTTGACATATAACAGTGGTCCAATACAGTAAGACCTCATATACTCCTATAGCTTTTTAACATGGTAACATATGTATTCATGATACTGGTAAAATCTGTGCTGCCAGCTATATTATAACACATGCAATCACATATATATTATACTAAATATATTAAACACCTATGTATGGCAGGTCAGCTACCTGGAACTTAAGACCTTCCTGACTCAGCCTCCAGAGTGCCAGGATTAGAGGCAACCGACTAATACCACCTGGTATATTCTCTCATGTTCACACTAAGTCATCTAATGACACATTTCTCAGAATGTATCCCAGACCTTTCATGTTTATTATATGCTATACTTAAAAATCTCAGAAGTACTGAAATAGCTTTACTTGAATTTCCTATTAAAGAAGCAAAAGAAGATGCATGCAATTTTAAGATTTAAATAAAACCTCATAAGCATAATAGAAATAAATATACAAACCTGAATTTGAAACAAGTTCAATATCATTCCCTTCAAGGATTAATTCATCCTTCTGGGCTTGAGAAACAGAACAAGCAACACCTAAAAGAGTATATTTGCATGTCAACATGAGATCTGCATGCAAAAATAATAGCTATTCCATGACAAATCCCATGCATCCACTGGAATTTTTTATCTACAAGATCAGATCTAGGCCAAAAACCACTTCTACTACACTAAGTATATCAAGGCTTATTTCAAGAAAAATATTTTCCTATGCTGCCTCAAACTTTTGATCCTGTGATTAAAGATGTAGCGCAAAGTTGTGCCCAGGAATGTGATTCCCATAAAAAAACTGCCAGATCCTGCAAACTATTCCAATATACACCTTTACAGAAAAATTATATAAACCTTTAACTAGCACAAGAGTTGTGCTAAGACAATTCTGAAACAAGTATGGCTTTCATCATAGCCACCCCCAAATAACAGTATGTCAGACTTAAAAAATCAGCAGTAACTTCTGAATCATTTCTGAAGGCATGCACATACCTGTCCTCATTCGAACCCTGCGGATGTACTTTTCACCCAAGAAATTTCGGATTTCAACAAGAGAACCATTCTCCTGAATAACAACGTTGATGGGGAAGTGAGCATACACAGACCTCATCTTGTATCGGAAGCCCTGCATTAAATAAGCAAGCTGTGAGCAATTCGGAGAAATTTCAAAGAAATTCAATCTAATGAAAGTCTTAGTAATAATGCCAAGGTTAGCCTGGAACTTGAAATTCTCATCTCAGTCTCCTTTGGGGTCAAAGATGAGCATCAGTAAGGCCAGCTTCAGTTCTCAAATTTTGCAGGCTGCTTTTCTTATCCCTTGTATTATTAACATTGTCACAGCATCCTAACAACTGTCACCTTTACCAATCCTTCCATAATTCACAATTCCATCACTGGCACAACTGTCTTCTCATCAGACTTTAGTAAAGCTCCTCAGAGAGCATAAGCAGGGCAAACAAAATGCTGACTTCTTTTAAGCCAAAGACAGGGCCCTTCCTTCAAAGAACCCAAGTCTGGGAGCATGAGCTAATAGGTTTGCAACAGACTTTAGTTATAGGGTGCCATTATGAGACATACTCTAGAGGGCCAGGCTAAGGCAAAGAAAACTACTTCAGAACTAACTTTAGTTCGGAATAGAAGGCTTAGAGGTAACAGTGACATCAGATATGCTCAGAAATTATTAAATCCTTTTTCATCCACACATAAGCATTTCAATGACTAATCAAAGCCTACACTGTGTTGTGGCTGTGACAGAATGCCTATTAAGGTGGGGTTGTAGCTCAGTGATAAGTGCCTGCCCCTCTTTCCTAAATCCTTAAGACTCAATTGTCCCTACTTATCAAGCACTGGAGTTCATCAATCTGATTAATTCTATGCACAGTCCATTCCTGGAGTAGATTTGTTGTATACTTGAAACAGTTGAGAAACCACTGCCAAAGGGTTTAAAATTTAGCCTGGTTGGTTGGCTTACCAGTGTAACACCCTTGATCATGTTCTGGACATGGCTACAGATAGTTCGTACAGTGGCCAGTTCCTTTCTGTTCCCCCACCATTTGTCAACTCGCAGCTGTAAGAGAACAAATCTTCAGAAATCTTCCCTCAACCAGTTTTAAAATCAACCAAAACTATGTGTGGCCCTGGGATTACAGGTATGCACCACCACACCCAGCCCAGTTTTCAACTGGAGAGTGCAACAGCATAAAGAACCTCTTACAGGGAGATGACAAATGCTTCACTGCTGAATACCACAGGCACACATTTTACACAGGGAAAAACTACAGAATAAAACAAAGCTCATTTTTGGAAAATGCAATGAAGTCTAAAAATCCACTACGCAACAATTTTTTTTATATTAAAGGTAAACAGTTACTGGACTTCAAAATATACAATATTCAAAAATTGGTTTAAAGCAAAATCGTCTACAATCTCGGACACCAAAATTTAAAACAAAAACATTGTCCTTAATTAGAAAAAATTTTAAAGCTAATAACTTGCTGGTACAATTAACTAGCTTCCAAACAAGCAACTGCACTGTGAACGGATATATGAAACCTACCCTCTTCTTCTTCTTTCCCAGGAGGCTAAGTTCTACATTGATGTGATTAAAGTCCCTCCGGAGGGTTCCTCGGGGACCCTTCACAATAACTGTGCGTCCTTTCAGGGTGATGTCGACTAGGAGAGAGAATGAATTCGTGAGGCCGCAGGACAAGATTTGGAGCATGCAGTAAAGACGTCAAAGACAAATTAAGGTCTCGTACCATTTTCTGGAATGTCGACAGTCTGATTGCTGAGGATGGTCTTCATTCTGAAACACAAACAACGGGGTAAGAAGACTGGAGCAGAGAACGTTCTCTACTAAACTCAGCACTGAGCTGCATTCCTGCCGGAAGCTGCCAGGCACAAATCCCAGGGAGTGCGTTATTACGGGACCCCTGACCATGGTGGCCGAAGAGAGCTCGGGCCTGGAAGGGGCTGCCCCGGGAGGGTCGTGTTGGCCCCGGCGGACGCACTTAGGCCCGGTCCGACCCGGCCAATGGCGGCCCGGCGCGCCATGGCGGTGGGGCTACGGCCGGGGTAGGCCTAAAGGCCAGAACACAACTGGTGCTGGCGCCAGCAGGCCCAAAGGGCGCTGGGCGTGTTGGGGTACCGTCAGGACAGAAGCTCAGGGCGCCCGGCTCACAGCGCGCGCACCCCCAGGAGCCGATGGCTTCAGATACCCACGGAACTCATCTCGGAAATCTCCTTACCTCGCAGTCGATGGGGCAAAGAGAGAGCGACTCTCGTCATCACGTTCTTGTAATCCGTCGGGCCTGCCCTACGTTCTGCGTCATAAGCACGCGACGGCATTAAGACTAAAGCAACCAATTGCCGAGCGGGTCAAGTCGCGCCGCGTCAGTGAGGCCCTGCGAGTGTTTTGTCATAAGGAATGCGACGGTTTTTCGATCCATCCAAGCTGGGAATTGCCGGTCGCTGGACCCCTCGGTTCTGCTAGGCCGAAGGAGGGGATGTCTCTACGCTGCGGGGATGCCGCCCGCAGTCTGGGGCCCCGGGTGAGCCGCGGGAAGGCTGCGCCCAAGACCAAAGCTAGGGGGAGTATCCCAAATATCCTTTTTAATGCCCCTGACTCGTCGAGATTTTTAAAAATCGCAGCTATGACATCTACTCCAAGTATTGTAATTGTGACTGAGAAACTTTTAGTACCTATCTTCAGAACGGAATACGTGAAAATGTGACGTGTTAGGCAGTTTCTCAGGTTTCCTAATTTAAACCTACCATTCAGCAGTTAACTTACTTTTTTAGGGTTGGTTTCTACTTTTCTCGGGGGAGGAGGAGAAGGGGAATACAACAGAGTTTCTCAGTCGGTGGCCCAGACTGGAGTCACGGCATTCCTCCTGCTTCAGTCTCCCGAGTACTGGAATTTACAGGTTTGAGCCATCACGCTCCGGGATTCTTTTGTCTTAAAGTCTTCTAGAGTCTAATCTCCTAAGCAGTTAGAGCGCCTGAATCGCTTGACGTAATTTCTGAATCAGTTCTTTGGCTTTGTTATTAAGATAGGTTAAAAGTATATTATTTTAGACCCCACTGAACGTTGTGATTAACGATTTCTTTAGGTCTTTGGAAGATATGTATACAGCCCAGTTAGAGCATTAAATTCCTTGCAAGATAAGCAAAAGGAATTTTTACAAAATGGCCCCGACCTTCAGGATTTTGTGTCTGGTGAGCTTGCAGACAAAAGTACCTGGGATGAATATAAGGGAAATTTAAAACGCCAGAAAGGAGAAAGGTAACTGAAAATTTGAGATCATTTTGGTGTCCCATCCTTTGATTTTTGTGCTTTTTTTTTCAGATGTAATCAAGCTCTGGGGTTGATTTTTAGTTCCAGACTTGTTGAATTTATCCAAAGGTCATTAGAAGTGATCACAAATCTAACTAGCACAAGTAAATGAGGCTGTTAGAATTATTTCATTTTGCTGTGCCCCTTAGCCATTTTTCTTCTTCCTTTGACCTGACCATTTTATGCTGCCATCTCCCCATTTTATACGCAGTATCCAACTGAGAAAGTGAAAGTTTTTCTCTGATGTAGACCTTTATAAAATTTTGTTAGTATATATATTGATTGTCTAACTTGTTCCTTTTCCCAGTAAGTTTACATATGGCCTATGGATATTTTGTTTTATTTTATTTTTTAATGGTGAAAGGTAGCCAGCATGGTGGCCTACACCTTTAATCCCAGCACTTGGGAGGTAGAGGTAGGCAGATCTCAAGGCCAGCTTGGTCTTCATAGCAATTTCCAGGCCAGCTAGGGCTACAACAGAGAGACCCTGTCTCAAAAACAAAACCTAAACAAAAATGCAGAAGAGACTGGCTTCAATCCTCAGCACCACAGAAAAAACAAAACAAGACAAAAAACCAACATAAAAGTGTTAAGGATTTTATGGAGAGGGTAAATTGTTCTCAAAAGCACTTATCAGCTGGGCATGGTGGCCCACGCCTTTAATCCGAGCACTTGGGAGGCAGAGGCAGGCAGATCTCTGTGAGTTCAAGGCCAGCCTGGTCTACATAGTTACATAGTTCCAGGACAGCTGGGCCTGCAGGGAGACCCTGTCTCAAAAAAACCCAAAAGAAAAAAAAAACAAAAAAAAAAACTTGTCACTTTTTTTTTTTTTTGTCTTTTTGAGTCAGAGTCTCCCTGTAGGCCAGCTGGCAGATCAGCCTGCCTCTGCCTCCCAAGTGCTGGGACTAAAGGTATGTACCACCACACCCAGCTATATCAAATTATTTCTAAGTCACAAATCACAAATGAATGGGAAACCAAGGCTATAGTTTCCAATTTTAGACTTTTTGTTGTTGTTGTTCTTTTATTTTGTTGTTTCTTTGGTCTATAATGTTCAGGTTTTTTTAAGTCAAAGTTTCATTTATATAGCCCAGGCTAGCCTGGAACTCATCTATCTAGCTTCCTACCTCCACCTTCCAAATTTTAGGATTACAAGCATGGACCACCACAGCTGACAAATTTCTCCCTTTATTAATGACTACAGAATCTAGAGGAGATATTGTGTTGTTGGGTGGGGTCCTCCCTTCTTCTGAATTAATACGGTCATTTGTAGTATTCACAGGGAATGACATACTAAAAACTTACACATTCTTTTATTAGAGTAGTGTAGCAATGTACCTTTGCCAAAGGTAGATATCAGCTTAGTGCCTGTTAGACTCTATCTTCAGTGTTTTCTCAAATAGTTTGGACATACCTAAACTTGAGTCTTTGTTTTTATTCCTGTGACACAATTGAGTTAGTCCAGGAAAATGAAAAAGTTATATTGAGAAATTGTAATACAACAAACCTAAGTGATTTTGCAGGCTGTTTGTTACTATATAGTTCTCTTTGGCTTTCCTCAGGTTAAGACTACCTCCATGGCTAAAGACAGAGATACCCATGGGGAAAAATTATAATAAACTGAAAAATACATTGCGGAATTTAAATCTCCATACAGTAAGTTGTCAGTCTATTCCCTCTCCCTTTTATTTGTTTATGTTTTGTTTTGTTTTTGAGATAGGGTCTTCCTGTAGCCCCAGCTAGCCTGGAACTTACTATGTAGACCAGGCCGGCCTCGATCTTATAGATATCCCTCTGCCTCTGCCTTTTGAGCACTGGGATTAAAGATGTGCACCACCATACCTGGCCTTCCCTCTCCATTTTAATCAAAGGCTATAATATTTCTATGTATTTGTTTTTTAAAAATTTTATTATTTTTGTTTTCTGTGTATGAGTGTATTACCTGCATGTATGTAAGTGCACCTATGTTGTGCATGCCTGAGGAGATCAGAAAAGATTGTTGGATAACCCTGGAACTGGAGTTATAGATGACTGTTAGGCTCTGTATGGGTGCTGAGAATTGAACCCAGGTCATCTGCAAGAGCAACCAGTGCTCTTAACCACTGAACTGTCTTCTCCAGCCCCAATATTGCTGCATATTTGTGATGACAAAAAAAAGACAAAACCTTTTTTAGACAAAAAAATTATTTATTTATTTATTTATTTTGAGACAGGGTCTTACTGTGTAGCATAGGCTAGTCCAGAACTTGCTATGTAGACCAGGCTAGTCTCAAACTTACCTTTATCCTGCCTCAACTTGAATTGCAGGGTGTGTGCCACCAGACTAGGCGAAAAATTCTTTTTTATTATGTAAATAATAGCAAAAAGGTAAGTATAGATGATAAGTGATACAGCTCATAGACATTTAGGGACTGAGAGTATAGCTCCATGGTGGAGTGCTTGCTTAGCCTGTGTCAAGCCAAGTTCAATCCCCAGACCCTCTGTATATTTAAATACATTTTTCCTGCAAAAAGAACCAAAACATGATTATATTTCTTTTTTTTGTTTTTGGACTTTTTGAGATCCGAGTGCCTCTGCCTCCCAAGTGTTGGGATCAAAGGCATTCAAAGGCATGCCCAACTGATTATATTTCTTTTTTTGTTTGCTTTTAGTTTTTTTGAGACAGGGCCTGGAACTCACTACATAGACCAGGCTAACCAGGCTCACAGAAGTCCACCTGCCTCTACCTCTCAAGTGCTGGGGTCAAAGGCGTTTGTCACTACGCCTGGCTGATTATAGTTCTTAACATTTTATTTAATAGTACAAAATAAAAAGATTTTTTTCTTCCCTTGCAAGTTAGGGAACAAGGGTTTTTGTTTGTTTATTTTAGGACAATATATGTGTATGTGTGTACTTTGAAATGGAGTCTGGCTTTGTTGTCCAGGATGGCCTCACTCTTGGGTACAAGCCTCAGCTTCCCGAGTAGCTGGAATACAGACCACTCTACCTGAGTTTTGCCTTTTTTTGTTTTTTTTTTTTGTGTGTGTATGACAGGGTCTCCCTGTAGCCCCAGCTAGCCTGAAATTGCTATGTAGACCAGGCTTGTCTCAAACAGAACAAAACAAAATAGTAATAATAAATAAATAAATATTTTAAAATGAAAAGGAAAGAAATTAAGTACATGCCTGTTGGAAAAAGTATAAAATTAAATAGGAAACTCTATCACCTCTACAACCCCAAACATTGACCCTACCACTTTATATATCCTTTGAGACCTTTTTCTGTGTACATATAGAATGCACATGTTTTCATACGGTTCTACATTCAAAAATAAGACCCTAATATATTTAATTTGGCTTTTTCTAGTGCCAAGGATTGAACCAGGGCCCTGTGTATGCTAGACAAGCACTCTACTATTGAACTACATACATCCCCAGCACTTAAAAGCATATTTTTAAAAAGATTTATTTTTATTTTATTTGTATGAGTGTTTTGCCTGATTGACTGATCTATCTATGTATATATACCATATGCATGTACCTATCTATCTATACCAGATAGATATAGAGAGGCCAGAAGAGAGTTTCAGATTCCCTGAAACTGAAACTGGAATTACAGATGGTTATGATCTGCCATTAGGGTGTTGAGAACTGAACCTGGGTCCTCTGCAAAAGCAACAAGTGCTCTTAACTGGTGAGCCATCTCTCCAACCCTGATGAAAGCATTTTTGAAGAGTGAGTTTCTTCAGACATATATTAGAAACGATGGTTTAAAACACCTAATCCTTCTGGGCGTGGTGACACATGCTTTTAATCCCAGCACTTGGAAGGCAGAGACAGGCAGATCTTTGTAAGTTCCAGGCCAGCTGAGGCTACAGGGAAACCCTGTCTCAAAAAAACAAAACAAAAAACAAAAAAACCACTCAATCCTGGGGCTGGAGAGACGGCTCATCAGTTAAGAGCACTAACTGCTCTTGAAGAACCTGGGTTCAAATCACATGGCAGCTAACAGCCATCTGTAATTCCAGTTCCAAGGTATCTGAGGCCCTCTTCTGTCTTCTTCAGGCATACTTATATATATTCAGGCATAACACTCATCCACATAAATAATTCTTAAAGAAATTTAAGAACACCTAATTCTCATTGTTGTATATTGTACAATTGTTGAACATTGTAGATGTTTTCATCCTGATTGTATTGCTTTCCTTTGTCACAGGTATGTGAGGAAGCTCGATGTCCCAACATTGGAGAGTGCTGGGGAGGTGGAGAATATGCCACTGCCACTGCCACAATCATGGTAAGCCAACTCAGCCTCTTTATAAAGCTCAATTTTAGCCAAGCGTGGTGCACGCCTTTAAGCCCAGCACTTGGGAGGCAGAGGCAGGTGGATCTCTGTGAGTTCAAGGCCAGCCTGGTCTACATAGTGAGTTCAAGGCCAGCTAGGGCTACATAGTGAGATCCTGTCTCAAAAAACAAAAACAAACAAAAAACATACTTACCAATTACTAAGTAGTTACAAAAAAAGCTAACTATGAGTATGTTGTAAAGAATAACAATACGAGAGACTGATTGCTCTAGCTTGAGAGTAGGACTTTAGCATTATGATTGAAGCGCCTGTCTGTTCTACAAACTGTACTTTTTTTTTTTCTGTCTTTGAGACAGGGTCTCCCTGTAGCCCCAGCTGGCCTGGATTCACTTTTAAATATTTTATTTATTATGCCAGGCATGGTGGTGCACACCTTTAATCCCAGCACTTGGGAGGCAGATGCAGGTGGATCTCTGTGAGTTCAAGGCTGGCCTGGTCTACATAGTGAGTTCCAGGACAGCTGGGGCTACAGGGAGACCTGCATGTATGTGAGGGCACCTGTGTCTTGCAATGCAGCAGAGGTCAGAAGAGGACTTTGGATTCCCCTGGAACTGGAGTAAAGGATGGTTCGTGGCCGCCATGTGGGTGCTGGGAATCGAACCCGGGTCCTCTGCAAGAGCAGTCAATGCTCTTAACTGCTGAGCCATCTCTCTAGCCCCTAGAATCCTATTTTTTAAGATTAATTTAACTTTTTATTATTTTTTACTTACATGTATTGTGTGTGTCTGTGTGCATGTGTGCACATGAGTGCAGGTGCCTGTAGAAGCCAGAGGCATTGGATCCTTTTGGAACTGGAGTTAAGGTGGTTGTGAGCCTCCCAGTGTGGATGCTAGGGGACCAAACTAGGGTCCTCTGCAAGAGCAGTATGTGCTCCTAACTGCTGAGTCATCTCTCCAACCCCTGATTTATTTTATCTTTATGTATATGTGTGGCTATGTGCACATGAGTGCAGATGCCTGAGGCTCCCCCTGGAGCTTGAGTTACAGGCAGTTATGAGCTGCCTGATGTGGGTACTAGGATCCAAACTCATATCCTCCACAAAAGCTTTTAACTGCTATCTGTCCAGCCCCTAAGGTCCAATTTAAAATTTTGAGACAATGCCTCGCTAAGGAGCCCAAGCTGCCCTTGATCTTCCTGCCTCAATTTCTCAAGTGCTGGGATTACAGGCATGCACTACCATATCTGGCTTTAAGTTGAAATTTTGTTACTGTTATTGTGTGTGTATATGTGTGTGTGTGGACACATGTATGGGGAGCAGAGGACAACTTTGTGGAGTTAGTTCCCTCCTCCCTTTATGTGGGGTTTGGGCATCAAACTCAGGTTGCCATGCTTGCTCCGCAAGTACCTTTACCCATTGAGCCATCTTGCCAACCCTTTAAGTTGAGCTTTTTTAAAATAAAAAAAATTTTTTTTTTGGTCTTTTTGAGACAGGGTCTCCCTATAACTCCAGCTGGCCTGGAACTCACTATGTAGACCAGGCTGGCCTTGAACTCACAGAGATCCGCCTGCCTCTGCCTCTGCCTCCCGAGTGCTGGGACTAAGGATGTGCACCACCACACCTGGCTCTTAAAAAATATTTTATTTAATTTTATGTCTATCAGTATCAGTGTATTGCCTGAATGTGTGCAAGTGCACCCATGTCATGCAGTGCCTGCAGAGGTCAGAAGAGGGATTGGATCCCTTGGAATTGGAGTTACAGAATGTTGTTAGCCATCGTGTGGGTGCTGGGAATCAAACCTAGGTCTTTTGCAAAAGCAGCCAGTGCTCTTAACTGCTGAGTCATCTCTCCAGTCTCCTAAATTAATTGAGGTTTTGTTTATTTTATTTTTATTTTAATATTTTATTTATTAATTTTTATTTCTTTACCTGTATGAGTGTATTGCCTCTATGTATGCAAGTGCACCCATGTTATGCAGTGCCTGAAGAAGTCAGAAGAGGGCATTGGATCTCGTTGGAACTGAAGTTACGGATAATTGTTAGCAGCCATGTGGGTGCTGGGAATCAAACCTAGGTCCTCTACAAGAGCAGTGCTCTTAACCACTAAACCATCTCTCCAGCCCCCTAAATTGAGTTTCTTTTTTTTGGACTTTTTGAGACAGGGTCTCCCTTTAGCCCTAACTGGCCTGGATTAGCTATGGAGACCAGGCTGGCCTCGAACTCACAGAGATCTGCCTGCCTCTGCCTCCCGAGTGCTGGGCTTAAAGGCTTGTACCACCACACCCAGCGTAAATTGAGTTTTTAAAAAGGATTTATTTTTATTGTTATTTTGAAATTTTATTATTTATTTTTGTTTAGTTTTTTTACAGGTTCTCCCTAGTCCCATCCCACCTGGAACTCACTATGTAGACCAGGCTGGTCTCGATCTCACAGAGATATGCCTGCCTCTGCCCCCCACAAGGGCTGGGATTAAAGGCTTGAACCACCATGCTTGGCTATTTTTATATTTTTAATTTGTGTATGTGAATGTAGGTACCCTTGGAGGCCAGAGGTGTCAGATCCCCTGGAACTGGAGTTAAAGGGGGTTGTCAGCCTCCTGATGTGGGAACTGAACTTGAGTCCTCTGGAAGAGCAGCCAGTGTTCTTAACCACTGAGCCATTCTCCAGCCCCTAAATTGAATTTTAAAAATTCAGTTATGTGTCCCTTCCTGATCCCATACCTTCTCCAATTCCCTTAACACTATTCATTGAGTGTGTCATTTCCTTTTTTCCACATAAATTTCATAACTATATATTATTTAATTTTGAATGTTTTAGATTTTTTACAGTTTGTTCACATTGCCTCTTGTTTGTGTTCTTGAAGATCGTCTGCCTACTTGGCTTAAATTGTAACAATCTCTATTCTAGTTGATGGGTGACACATGTACAAGAGGTTGTAGATTTTGTTCTGTTAAGACTGCAAGAATTCCGCCTCCATTGGATGCCAGTGAGCCTTACAATACGGCCAAAGCAATTGCAGAGTGGGGTCTTGATTATGTTGTCCTGACATCGGTGGATCGAGATGGTTAGTAGTGTGTCATGTGATATTTACCAGAAATTGGCTTGTGCTTAACTTAGCACTAGCTTCTTTTCTTTCTAGATGTGCCTGACGGGGGAGCTGAGCACATTGCAAAGACTGTGTCATACTTGAAGGAAAGGTACTTGTTTTTGCATTTATTTATGTAGTTTAAAGGCCTTTTTGGACATAAGCAAATTCAGTTTAAGGTTTTTCCCTTAAAGCAGTGGTTATCAATATTTTGGAGATTTTATATCCTTCTGATAGTCTGCTGGGAAATTACTATTTCTTCAGAAAAAGCATATTCATGCACACATACACATTGGCAGATCATATTAGAGATTTAGTGGCATAACTATATCCTGGATCGTTAGTACATAGCCCACCCACCGCTCTGAACTTTGAATGATTTTCTTTTTTTCTTTATTTTTTGAGACAGGGTCTCCCTGTAGCTCCAGCTGGCCTGGAATTTGCTATGTAGACCAGGCTGGTCTTGAACTCACAGAGGCCTGCCTCTGCCTCCCAAGTGCTAGGATTAAAGGTGTGTGCCACCACACCTGGCTTGAGCTGTTTTTTTTTTTTTTTTTTTTTAATTTATACATATGCATGTGTGTCTCTGTTGGCACTGGGTTTTTAATAAATTATCATCTAAGCCTAGTTTAGTGGCTGAGGATACAGCTCAGTGGTTAAAATACTTGCCTAGCATGTCTGAGGCCCTAGGTTTGATGCCCCAAACCAAACACACCCACACACACAATTTTTTTTGTTCAGAATTTTTTTTGAGGCAGTGACTCCCTATAGTCCCAACTGGCCTGGAACTCACTATGTAGACCAGGCTGGCCTCAAACTCACAGAGATCCACCTCTCAAGTGCTGGGACCAACAGTGTGCACCACCACAAATTTTAATTAATTAAAATAAGATATGCTCCAACTTTGTTAAAATACATGTCATGATACAGAGTCTATCCATATTCAAATGTCCTGGCAATTTTACCCGTACTCTATATTTTTATTAATAGTTTAATCCCATACATATAAAAAGCATGCAATGAAATGCTTCTTCTAATCATGTAGTTATTAAAAATTAAAAAAAAATACAAAAAAGTACAAAACATTGACTTCTTAACTAAAAATGTAATACAAACCAATATGAAGAATTTTATCTATTGAAAAAAACATTAGAAAGGAACTAAGTTCATTTCTAGTGCTAGTGTAATTACTAGCTTACTGATGTTTTTCCATTGATTCCCCAATGTTATCTGTTTATTATAGTTTATTTAAAATATATATTTGTAGCATACTAAATTTTTTTTTCAGAAGCCACAAATGGATCTCTATTTGCAATTTTAAAGTCAGTTTCAGAGTTGTACGATATGCTCTTCTTTCCTCATCTCATGTTGGTGAGGGATGTGTGTGGTCTCAGGAGCAGCTCTACTCTGCCCCTGGGTTTGTGAACAGCACTGTGACCTAGTTCACAGTACAGTGCTCCACTGAATAGACACAGCCACGGGAGAAACAGGAAGATTAATGTTTAGCTTGAACTTCATTTAAACAAAACTCATGACTCAGCAACCCAGAAAAGTAGTTTTTAAAGCCCGTAACACTTGTGAAATGTTTGTCTAGGAGAGGCTAGAGGGATGCTGTTCGATGAATTGTGAAAGAAATCAGTTGAAACAAATGATATTTGCAGTCACAGAAAAAGTACTCCCAAACAAATATTTAATGGTTTCTATTTTAATTCCTTTAAATGATTTTTTGCTGTTGTTATTCTTTGTTGTTTTGTGGGGATTTTTTTGTTTTGTTTTGTCTTTTTGAAACGGTCTCCCTGTAGTCCCAGCTGACCTGGACTTGCTATGGAGACCAGACTTGACCTCTATCTCACAGAGATTGGCCTGTCTCTGCCTCCCAAGTGCTGAGACTAAAGGCATGGGCTACCCCCACCCAGCAGGTGATTTTATTTACTTGTTTTTGTTGGTTTGTTTTTGGTCTTTTTGAAACAGGGTCTCCCTGGAACTCACTATGTAGACCAGACTGACCTCAATTTCACAGATATCTGTCTTCCTCAGCCTCCTGAGCTGCGATTAAAGGCATGGGCCACCACACCTGGTATGATTTTATTTTTGATAACCCACTCTAATAAAGTTGGAAAGTGCATATGATCTCAGGCCAGATGTGGTGGTCCATGCCTTTAATTCTAGCACTCAGGAGGCAGAGGCAGGCCGATCTCTGTGAGTTCGAGGCCAGCCTGGTCTACATAGTCAGGCCAGCTGGGGCAGCAGAGAGACCCTGTCTAAAAAAGACCAAAAAAAAGTGTATATCATCTCAAGTTTTACTCTGATCGCTATTTGTTTTTTGTTTTGTTTTGTTTTTGGTCTTTTTGAGACAGGGTCTCTCTGTAGCCTCAGCTGGCCTGGAACTCACTATATAAACCAGGCTGGCCTCGAACTCACAGAGATCTACCTGAGTCTGTCTCCCAAGTTCTGGGACTAAAGGGGTGCGCCACCATGCCCGACTCTAGTTGCTATTTGTACATAGATGTGTTTAATCATCATGTGCATATAATCTGCTGCTCTGAGGGTTTTCATGCTCCTGTTCCTATATCCAAGCTCTTTTTAGCCAAGTTCTAAAGACTGCCCTGTCTAAGCTCACACTGAATCAGTGCTGATCATTTGTTAAACAACATTTCTCTCAGTCCTTTTCCTCAGTTTGATGTTTGTCTTTTTCCCTTCTAGGAATCCAAAAATTCTTGTGGAATGCCTCACCCCTGATTTCCGAGGAGATCTTAAATCAGTAGAAAAAGTTGCTCTGTCAGGATTAGATGTGTATGCACATAATGTAGAAACAGTTCCAGAACTTCAGAGGTGATTACATGTGCAGTTAACATTGGGAAATTCGACGGTCCCAGCATGCTGTGTTCTCACGGGTGAACTGTGGTGGCCTTCCTTTCTCGCTCCCTTCCCCCTTCTCTTTACCTCTTACTCCTTTCATTCTTTCCTTCCCCCTTTATGAAGCAATGAAAAATTAGAAAAGATGGCCAATAAAAATGCATAAACATCACAATGTTTCTAAATGGTGGTACCAGTTACTATCACTTTGCTGTTGTATTTACACCTATAAATGCATACATTAAGGTGGTAGTAACTGATATTAACTATATGGTTTGCAGGGAGAGTTGTTTTTTGTTTGTTTTATTGGTTTTTTTGAGACACGGTCTCCCTGTAGCCCCAGCTAATCTAGAACTTACTATGTAGACCAGACTGGCCTTCATCTCACAGAGCTCTGCTTGCCTCTCGCCCTGGAATGCTGGGATTAAAGGCATGGATCATCATGCCTGGCTTATTAACTATGTGGCTTTTTAGAAATTATTTATTTTTATTTTCTATGTGTGAGTGTTTTGCCAGCAAGTTTTACTCTGATCGCTACCTGTGTGTACAATGCCTGTGGAGGTCAGAAGAATGTGTCAGATCCCTTGGGCAGACAGCTGCCATGTGGGTGCTGGGAATGAACCCAGGTCTCCTGCAAGAGTAGCCAGTGATCTTAACCACTGAGCCATCTCTCCAGCCTCTAATAAATACTTTTCTTTTTCTTTATCAAGTATTTAGCTGTGGTCTTTTTTTTTTTTTTTTTTTTTTTTTTTTTTTTTTTGATTTTTTTTTTTTTTTTTGCCCCCAGGGCCCGGCAGACCCCCATGTAACCC